AAATTTATATTTTTCATTATTTATGTTCACCATGAATAGCCATAAAAATTCTTAAAGGTGAACGTCAGCCTTATTTTCAGGCTTGCACAGTTATACAGTCTTCTCTGCTCTACTGAGATTGCTTACTCTGAATTAAATTTAAAAATGTCATAAGCATGGAAAGAAGAAACCAGGCAAAATATAAGCAGATCAGCTTTAAGCAGTGTGAAATGCATAGAAACTGTAGTTACATTGTTTGTCAAAGCTCTCATCCATCTTATTTTTCCCTTTAAATGTTTTCAGCATAACCCATCTGAAATCACCAACCTAAATTGAGATAATGGCAAAGACAGGCTTCTGAAGTCATGTTTAAATATATAAAGCTGTGATTTTACTAATGGATCATGTGACGACTCATACTGTAAAAATCTCACAATTCGATGACAGTACATAAGGCACGCCGTTAAAAAGACAAATGGTACATCAATGTGTGTGCCACTCAACAAATAGCAAAAATTGAATGTAAAACCAAGGGCTCGGGATGAGGTATTGGAGAAAGGTGATTGGACCAAACTCAAATAAACTTAAATGGCTTGAGAAGTAAACTCTAGGATTAATTGAGATCCCAGGCAGGTGCTAGAAACGTAATTCACGAAATGATCAAGAACATGCCAAGGAAGAGAAAAATGTGTTGCTTTTCAGATAATTTCCCAGAAGCTTCATAAAAGAAAATTGATTACTGAAATTTAATAAGTGCAGCAGAGTTAGAGAGGTAGTAATCAAATGAGTTTTTAATTAGATTTCAGGTACAAAAAAGAGGGGTCATTTTAATTTGTGTATGTGGATTTCAAAAAACCTTTTAAGCCGATTAGCAGGTTATATACCCTTTTACATTGGAATTAAAAAGTATTGAAAAATGAAAGCTCTCAATCAGAACTACAAGAAATTATTATTATTTTTATACATGTTCTTATTTCAGTGAAAACTTTAACCTTGAAAGAAAGATATTTAAGACCTGACCCAACATTACAACACAAAAGAAAGTATAAAACCTCTACTTAGTACGTAGAGATATTGATAAAAAAATGACTCTGACAACAAAAAAACCCCCCTGCAAAGTAGATAGCTGATACTTGCCTCTCCCTTACCATTGAACTCCATTGTATTAAAGAGATACACTGCCTGAAGAATCTTCAGGCTTCAGAACCTTCCCTTCTTTATGTTCTCCTTTCAGCCCTACATCCAATCACTGATCTAGATCTAAATCTTGCTGACTCATCCTCCATAACATTTCTAAAACTTGCCCCTTTTCAGCTTCTAGTTCATTCCCTTGTAATCTGTGGCCTTGACTATTATAACTCCCTCCTTGTTGGCTTACCACTAAATAGGCTATACCCCCTTCAGTCAATCATGAATGATACTGCCAGACTCATCCACCTTACCAACCGTTCAATGTCCACCGCCCCTCTCTGCCAATCTCTCCACTGGCTCCCACTACTTGCCCAACAAATAAAATTAAAAATACAAACAACAGCATACAACATCATCAACAACTCCACCCCAACTACATCACCAACCTCATCTCAAAATATCACCCAAACCATCCTCTCCACTCCTCTCAAGACCTCCTGCTCTCAGCTTTCTCATCACCTTCTCCCATGCTCCATATACCCAAATTGCATTGTGCTGATTTTACCCGAAAACCACAATTAACATGCTGTAATCTTATAAATAATTAATCACAATTATAACAATCAAAATAATAGTGAATTCATAACAAATAATATGACTTTGGTAATTAAATTGCTTTAGTGTACTGTGCAGTCCTTTTAATATACTGTGCAGTCCTCCTTAAACGTGTATACAATATACCTCCGTGTATCTTCAGTAATCGTGAAAACAGATGTGCTTCCAGAAACCTGTGCTTGAAAACTTATATCCGCACTCACCGACTATTGATGGCCACCCTCTTACATAGACTCCTTTCCACTTGTTAAGGTGAAATCCAGTTGGATAATATTGGTTAAATGCATTGTTCTTTCCATCAGGTTATTAAAGTTGACGGAATAAAAGAAAGCAGAAAGTGTAACAGGCTATGTTGCTAATATAACTTAAAGATCACCTCTAGGCTAATTTTCTTTCATTTTTTAAATTCTTTATTTTTCAAGAAACGCAAAAACGGCCAAAGTACGCATGTATTCCAACAACATAAAGAGAATAGGAAAAATGAACAGTCAATCTCCCAACTATAAACAAACATAGAACCAAAGAAGTTTCAACCATAGGTGATCACTATGAACACATGGAACTGGGCCCTCCTTTAAATGTATTTAATGTTCCCCTAGGCTTAGGTATAATAAAATAAAGTAGCTCTGCAGTACTCACCTCCTCTTTGGCACTGTCCTCTTCGGTAATTCCTTTTCTGCACTAGATATCACCAGTGTTTCTCTCTGCATCATTAAATCTGGAAGGCAGAGCAGATACTGTGAGAGCAGGGCACCATCATGATGCCCTGCACTCACATACAATGACGCAGAGAGCAACACTGACGTAATCACATCAGGGTCACTCTCATTTAGGACCACCTACCTCCAAGTGAAGGTCTGAAGAGGAATCAGTTGTTTGGCCTGAAGACCTCTGGAAAAAGAAAGTATAAAGAAAGTGTAAAAAAAATACACATGAAGGGGGGCATATTGGGGGGAGGGGGCAGACTTACGATTTAGGAAATGAGTGTCAACATTTAACTTGCCCTAACTGAGAAAGAAGTGTATTAATAACTTTTAAATTGGTGCTTATTAAATGACATAATGCAAAGATTCATTGCATGCCGTAACCTATGGCAACCTATCTGCTCTGATTACTTTGCCTCTTTTGAGAGATTAATTCTGTCTGGTTGCCATTGGCTATTGACCAACATTGTTCTTGCTATGTACAGGTTATTAAATAAACCTGTTTATGTGTCATGACTAATGGCCTGCGTTCTTGTGTACATGGGTTCATATGTCCTCCTTTAGTAACAGATTAGACTAGCTCATGCTAAATATAGCTGCAGCTTGTCAGTGTAAATGATGCTTGTCATTCTGCCTTAAACAGCTACGTGTATACTTGTAGCATCTGTACAGTGCAGCATTTTAGTGATTTTGGCGAACATCAGCTATACGCTGTGCTGGTATTTAATAACAATTTATCAAGTCATTACTCCACCATTAATTAGGCCGTAATATGTTATTGAATGAACAATAAAAATTCCATCTGGGAAAATTAATGGTTACATTTTTTCTGTGCTTGGTGAGTATTTCAGCACTCACTTTTGTATCTGTACCTATTTTTATATAAAAAATCAATTGTGGATTTAAGATTTCAGGGAATCAAAGAAAAAAAAACCTATAAAATGTATGTTATAGAGAAATTGTATATTTTTGAATGTGGCAAGACTGAAATAGGCCCTAGTATATGTACTTCTTAGTGTTTACATGACAGTTAAAAGTAATACAGTATCCTCAGTCAGTTACCAAGTTGGCTCAGACTTAAGGGGTTATTCACTTAACTGCCAAAGGCAGCCGAGTGAATAACCGAGCCGAAGTGAAGTGAGTCGAACACTGTTCGGCTACTCACTTCAGCTTTTTACGGCTGATTTCAGCCGTACATCGGCTAAAATCAGCAGTATATCGGCTGGCTCTGGTCAGCTGAACATGCTCTGCATGTTCGGCTGAGCCGAAGTGCAGAAGGCGTTCGATTCAGCTGATCCAACATCTGGATTGGCTGAGCCGAAGCTCCGGCAGCTCACTCTCTGCCGTTCACCCCTATTCTCATAGGGGGCTGAACGGCAGTAAGTGAATAGCCGAATGCCGCCAGCGGCATTTGGCTCGGCTATTCTTCTCAGAACTAATTAATGGTGGAGTAATGTCAAATCTGACAGATCTGACAGTCTTCAAACAGATCCCGGGCAATAGCTAACAACTGGGCGGAGCCGGCCGTGATGTCAGCCTAAGGTACGGCTGGATCCTTCAGCTCCATAGTGAATAACTCTCTTGGGCATCCTAATCTCAGTTAATAGAGTTGCTACATTGTTATAGCTAAAGTAAAACTTTTTTTTAATAAATTGTATTTTTTAAGTTTACAAACATAAACTTTTATTTTGAAATATAATAATTAAAAAAATATTTTATTTATTTTAAAAATAAATTATTTTCTTGATTTTTAAAACAGAAATGCTTTATGCTTAATTTGCAAAAGGCATTACTGCCTGGATCAGCTGAATTTGCTACACACTCCTAAAAATACTACTAGCTTTAGGTTGCCAAGTGCCGATAGAGTATCTGTTGAGGACAGAAATATTTACCATTTGAGGTGGTATATTAGATAAACCAATGATTAATGAGAAAATCTTTGAAATGGTTAAATGTTCATATGTAACCATTTCACACCTACACTATATTTTTAGGAAAACATTTTCAGCAGATTTATTTACTTATTATTGATATTTATATTGCACTGACAATTTACAATTTACATAGTGCACATTCACATCAGTCCCTGCTGTCAAGGAGCTTACAATCTAAGGTCCCTATCTCATACACATAGAGGGGACAACTTAGACAGGAGCCAATTAACCTTCCAGCACGTCTTTGGTGTGTGGGAGGAAACTGGAGTACCCAGAGGAAACCCATGCAAGCACAGGGAGAACATGCAAACTCCTTGTAGATAGTGACCAAGCTGGGATTCAAACCAGGGACCCCCAGTGCTACAAGACAAAAGTGCTAACCACTACGCTACTGTGCTGCCCCACATAAATTTAAAGAGCAGTGCTAAAATAACATAAGCCTACAGAGTACATCAATGACACTTGTTTGCGAAGCATACTGGGGGATTTCTAAGAAAGCCCAGCATTATCTGAATGCTTGGTGGCAGCATGTTAAAGATAAACCTGCAACATACTGGTATAGAGAAAAGCAATGAAATAGAATGTTATTAGACAGCCTGTCCATTTTGTTGACCATTTTATCTCTTTTATCTTGCAGACTCTAGTGAAAATTAATGGGAAGCTTAAGCCAATGCTGGACTCGGTGATCGTAAATCGTGCCAAATGGGATGACATGCACCAAAAAAGACTGCCATCCCAAGAAAGCAATGCCTCCTTCCCTACACCAGCTTCCTCACCCCAACCAGCTACAGAGTGTCTGCTGAAGACATAAGCTTGCAAGTGAGCCGCTGCCACGCGGGAAAGTTATTAAAAAAAAAAGACTGTCATGAGCTTAGCTGTTTAATTAAGTTACCGCAGCCATGCTTTTATTGGTGAGGAGATAATGGTCATGGCTTGGCTTTTGCCTGGAAGCTTGGAAGACTGAAGCTAAAGACAGATGGAAATTTGGTGTCAATGTTGAGGTGTCCTGTTGAGGAGCCGATAGGAAGGCTTCCTGTACTAGAGGAAACACGGCACTCATTTAAGCTTTGCAAACTCTTTAACTCTTGCTGCATGGTGAATAGAACACTGATCGTACTGGACTAAAATATATGCTTAATCCATGCAGCACAGTGACTATAATGCACAGTATAAACATCCATTACTAAGCTAATGCTAAGAAAATAAATAAGGCATATTTTTTATTAGTGTTTGCATTTACTCATATACATACACAAAGGAAATTGTGCCTGCCTGATGTGATGGTTTTCACACTACTATTATTTTACATGCTTAATGTACATTCACTTTTTTGCATTTTCTTTTTTTTTCCACCTTGTAAATTAATGGAAATCTCCAATGGCAGCTTTTTTTTCCAGATTGCCCAAAGAAAGAAAAACAAACTATGCAGAGAAATTCTATATTATTTTAAATAGATTGACTAACTTCTTGTTGCTGTTTTATTTTTGCACCTGTTGTCTTTTAGATTGTTGGTTTTGTTTTCTTGCCACAAATCCACACCATTGATTTGAACCCAGTGTATTATATGGTTTAATTGTCTGCTTGTGTGTTTTGATCTTGTTCTATAGGAGACCACACTGACATGCGACTGTTATTCGTCAGGTAAAAAAATCAATGATAATGGGTCAGAGTACTTCAAACTTCAAACTAAAACTTTGACTACCTCCTTTTTCTCGTTAGCTGTTACTTTTCCTTTTTGTACATTTTGTGCTTCAGAATTAACATTGCCCTGTCAATAGTAGGTCAAGCATCACATTGATGTATGATTGGTGAAAACACCAAACCTTAAGCATGACAGGTCAAAACGGTCAAGTGTATAACCCATGGGTCATCTTCCTCTCCTAAGGCATTGATCATTTTAATTGCTACATCCAGAGGTGACTGCTGCTAACACAAGCAGGTGATCCATTGCAGATATGCAAACCACATCACTTCCATTCAACAGTAAAGCACAATTATGTTAACCTTCCTTATAATATTAAGATACAGCCTAAAGGTATTTTTATAAATATTTTACTACTGATGATAATAATAATTTTGGTAGTTTAACTGCTACCTTGCACAGTGAGAAATCCCCAAAGAAGCTATAATATGGTGTAGTGTACAATATAAAGTTAGAAAAATAGACCTTAGTGCAAACAACACAAAAGCACTGGACAAAATCAAGAACAGATTCCCAAGGGACACACAACAGTCCACAAGTAATTTGATGTGAAAAATGGTTTCACTTGAAAAAGCCATACCCAATGGTTTAGTAACTCTAACCAGTATCATAACGTCTGCTAAATGTTTTGTATATGGGAGGGGACACCTGATTTAGAATCCACATCCTCAGCACTCCTTCCAGAAATCCCTTGTTTGGTCCTTAATGGGGAACTCTACCCAAAGCAAATTTTTTGTTTTGGTGAAGTAGATGCATGTTTCTATCCATTATTGGAGAATTACAACTCTCTAAGACCCAATCAACAACATCCCCTACCTCCAGCATGGCTATGAGAGACATGCTTATGTTTTCAGACAAGCTTCTGGTGTTATGCTAAGTCCACAATCCATATTCCTATCTAAAATAAGCAAGAGGATGAATGAATCAGCCTATCTGCTTGTTTTGTCCTCCAGTGAATTATCCATAGGAACTTACTGCAAAGGGGGAACACTGGAATGGAACACTGCCTGGTGACAGTAACATCTAGTAGCATTTCAACGATTACCATAGCTTTACTACTATGAAATGTCTGTCCCCCAACATTGGTTTGGATGTAACAGCCTAAGCTCAGCTTTGACTAGATATGCATCATTCCCCTTTCTGGAATGCATTTTTTCACACTCCTAAGGTACAAGGACACCAGCATTATTGTACCATTATCCCATATTGGGTTCCCATGACAGTATACGGAATATGTACTGAAGAGAAAGGAATTAGGAAATTAATCTTAAAGCAAAGTCCTGGCAAAGGAGAAGAAAACCCAGTTGGCCATCAAACCCTTTCCAAATCAAAACAAAAATCAAAACTTTGGATAGATTTCCATATTACTGTCAACAGTGCTACCAGTTGTGTGTGTATAGAAATAGTTTCCTGCTGTTGATGTAACCATAAGTGATGTATATACATATTTAATTTATGGTTGGATCAGCAGTAGGCAATTCATCTAGTGCACACAGGACTACAGATACAGTCTGTCCCTGCTGACTATGACAAATATTTGTATAATCAATCTACCCTAATACCTCTAAGTTGTTGTGGCAGGCAAGTAGGCTACAGATTACAAGAAACAACTTTCCCACTTCAGTACATAGTCCTAGTAAAGAACTTTTATTCAGTTTTTACTAACCAATATTTTATCCCTCTTTTTTCTTTATTGTGTGACACGTCCATTGAGTCTCTAGATTCCAACTGTACATACTATGTACATATTTTTATATGCTGCACACTGTTAATTCCTGATAGCATTAAAGGTTGTATCTGCTTCTGTTTCTGGTCATCTTCCACACAATGATTACTTTCACTGGGTGTTATATAAGGTAACTATAATATATTACACTTTATCTCAGTCTGTCTGTTTGTATCTTATAGATGTCATTTTAAGACTATTAAGCATAAATTACAGTTTCATTTAGGAAGAGTCAATAATATTCACTGACCTATATGTGAAAAGTTAAAGGACCTTGTGAGAACTGTCAGAGCCAATGAAATACTATGGAGGAAGTAAAAAGAATATCTTTACCAATATATGATAATGCATTGTGTCCCCAGTAAATTAATACTGCACTCACATGACATTGGCTAAGAAGTGAAGAATCCACAACAACTTGTAACGTTAGAAGGGTTTGCTAAGTTTTACTCTCAGCTCAGGTACATATGCGACTGTAAAAGAAGGAACTTACATCTGACATTTTGTATCATTAGAAATCTGTCCCTGCTGATGGCCTGAACTAATTATTTTTGTACAGACTTGTAATTAAGTATTCTTAACAAAGTCACTTTTAGTAGTTACAAAAGACTGCAGCCAGCAGTGCCTACTAGTAGTTTATATAGATCACAAGTGTTGTAGTATGAGTCACTTTGCATTTATTGTTCAGACTTTGTTTTTCCTTCACCTAGGTCCTTCACTTAGATCCCTTTAACATAATCCTTTCATCTTCATGCAGTCCATGCAGCCATTTTGTATGCTGTGAAAGCCATATATCGCAGATGAGGCCTGTCCATTTAAAAGGAACCAAAGGGCCTCGGTGTGGTTACTCGTAGATAACCGTTGAATAGGCTGCATTCCCTTAAATGTTGCCTGACTATACAAAATGGCTTCTGTTAATGTACACATACTTTAGGTATCCACTAAACTGCAAATCTTTTGGTTTCATTGGTGATACATTTTTGATTTGTCAGTTGCTGTTCACCCAAGAAATAAAGAAATGGGCATTAGAATAATTCCTCAATATCCAAAACACTTTGGTCTTTAGGCAAACTGAAAAAGGGCGTTCCATAAGGAAATGCCAGATACAATGTTTCATTGGTCTAACTACAGTAAACTGTAGAAGAAAATGTGTTTGGTTGCCATGAGCAGCGGCCATCTTTGCTCTTTGCACTATTATTAAATAAAGGCCTCTGTGCTTCTAAGTCAACTCCAGAATTAAAGCCAACGCCAGCGTTCTGAATTAACAGTACTCTGAACATGTGAATGCAGCTTGAAATGTTTCTGTTCTGGAGTTTTTTTTGGTTTATGACCCTTCTCTTTTGAATGTGCGTTCTATTTTGCATGTCGGACATTGCAACTTCTAGTTCCGTAGTTATATTGTTGTACACTTTGATTATGATTAATCAGGTGTGTGTATTCCTACTTCATATATACATCTACACAAGGCATATCTCACATCTAAATAAGATGCACTTTCTTTTCCCGTGCCTCACTTCCCATAAAGGTATACTCAAATCTATGGCTAGTGTTGTGCCACAATACTTGTATCCTTTTTTTCTTTTTTGTAGGTTATACAACACAATGCCTGTTAAGTTGTAATTTGTTAAACTCAGTCTTGTTTTTAAATAGCATGTTTTTGGGTAATGGCATTTATGGCTCTGTTTTTATTTGTTACTTTTCTCATAGAAATAAAAAATGACTGTATTTTGTTTTGTCTGTGTTTTTATACACTTTCATTGAATTTGGCTTAAATATGCAAGGCCAGATTTGTGAAAAGTCCTGTTTGGATGGGTACAAACTGTCTCCGTTTTATTATTTTATACTTTTCTTTATGTCAGCCCAAAAAATACAAATTAAAGGATTGTACAGTAAACAAAATACAAGATCCAGTCTGCTCCAGCCCACCTCATCACAGTACTTAAAGTGTATCTAAACCCAACATCAAAAATCTAATATACTGTAGTTTACCAATAATTCAATTTGTTTTTGAAAATGAAAGAGAGAATCTGACTGGTTGCCATGGACAACTGCTCCAGGTTCTGTCCGCTCCAGTTTTGATAAATTCCCCTCTCTGGTTTTTTTTGCTTATTCAAGGCAACATCACAAAGCCTCTTTAAAGCCATCCCCCAATCTACTTATCTTCCTTTTGCTCCATTCAGGCAACAGCAAAATACCTTGTGCTCTCAGGTTTAGAGGCGCATGTGACTTTCTCCCATGATGCAGTGCTTGGGTCTGTGGCCACACATCATCAAGCCCCAACATTGTCACATGAGAGGGCGTAACCAACCCCGTGTAAGCTCTGGCATGGAGCTTAAATAAGGGCTACAGAGCAGCGGGGAAGCATGAGGCCAATGAGAATCAGTGGGTTATGATGGGAGGAAT